CCTGTATTCCACTCGGAAGGTGGAATCGATAGTTTAATACTCAGCTGACATTCCGCCTCTTACCTCCTTCCACCCATTTTCTTGCCTTTCTTCACTGTTTAGTATTATTTGAGACTGTGTGTCTGCTTATAGACTAAAAGCTTTTTTTTTTTTTTTTTTTTGAGAGCAGGGACCATGTATGAGTCACCTGTTTCCACAAGAATGCCATGTAACAAACAACCACAAAACCTCAGTGGCAGATGATAGCTGTTTATTTCACGAGTCTGCAGTCGAAAGCCCACTGAGAGTGGTTCTGCTGATCTTGGCTGGGTTCACTTGCATGTTTTGGGGTTGACCAGCTGTTCGCCCATCTAGGCTGGCCTCAGTTGGGGCAACTGAGGGGATTTGGCCCTGTTCCACGTGTTTCTCATCCTCCAGCAGGCCAGCCTGGCCATGCCCTTCTCATGGTGACGGCCGAGGTGCAAGAGAGAACAAGCCGAAACACACAGACCCTCATGAGGCTGGGCCCAAAACAGACATACCATTCTCTCCACCTCTTTCATTGACCATAACAAGTCAAGTCCAGATACAAAGGTGGGGAGATAGACTGCCTTTTTTGAGAGGAGCTGCAAAATTACAGGGTAAGGGGTATGGGGTCATTAATGCAATCCATATACTATGGACCTATATAATTTGCCTCTTATTTGGAACTTAGGCTGGTGCTTTGCAAATAGTGCATAGTTAATAAACACATGTCACATGCAAGTAAAGTTAATTGATTAGATTTTCTAATCACAACTGAGCTGACTGAATGATGTAGCCATTAGCTGGAGTTTGTTGGAAGGGAAGTTTCTATCATCCTAGTAGAGTCTGAATTTTTTTTTTAGAATCTGAATTTTTCCCGCATTGGGTGCAGGGACAGCTTGGTTGCCACTAAGAAGTCCCTCTTCTTGTCATCTTTTCTGTCATGGGTTCTGCTGCTGTCATTTTCAGGATCTTGGAGTGTAAGTGTCTGAGAGACAGGGAACAAAGCGGGGGAGAACTGTTAATCACCCTGACGTGTCTCGGTTGCCTCTGGAAGAGAAATTTGGTCCATGTATTGAGCACTGAATGGACGTAAAGAGGGAGACGCAGCTCTGTCCAGTGTCTTTAACTTTTGTTCTTGTTTCTGCCCCCTTAGAGCAGCTCATGGAAAGGAGGGTCCTCAGGCCAGCGGCTGCATCAGCACCGCCGGGGAGCTTGTTAGAAATGCAGACGCTGCTTCCTGAATCAGACACCCTGGGGCTGAGGCCCAGGGGATCTGTGTTTTAACAAGTGCTCCAAGTGGTTCTGACAGGGAGGAGGTTTGAGACACCCTGCCTAACCCCCGTGGGCCATGGAAACTTAACAGTGTGGCTCCCACTACTGACTCTCAGACGCGGGGCGTGCGTGGGGCACCTCTGAGGAGGTCACGACGTAGTCTGAGCCTTGCAATAGTCAGGATTACAGGTTCAGGACCTCCTGGTGTTGGACACCCACGGGGGAACCCCCAACCAGCTCATTTAAAGTCACTTGCCCTGCTTTGTCGTTTGCAAGGGTACACCACTGAGGATGCCAGGGTTGCGTTTTATACCTGCCTTTACACCTGACTTTTTTTTTTTTTTTTTTTTTTTTTTTTTTGCGGTACGCGGGCCTCACTGTTGTGGCCTCTCCCGTTGCGGAGCACAGGCTCCGGACGCGCAGGCTCAGCGGCCATGGCTCACGGGCCCAGCCGCTCCGCGGCATGTGGGATCTTCCCGGACCGGGGCACGAACCCGCGTCCCCCGCATCGGCAGGCGGACTCTCAACCACTGCGCCCCCAGGGAAGCCCTACACCTGACTTTTATACCTAACTTTATTAGAAGGCAGATCTCAAGGTTGGAACAGGCTCCTTCTCCCCAGACAGACCGGGCAGGTGCCAAGACGTGGGACAAAGTGTGCCCAGGTTCAGACACCTCCTCCCCTTCTTGCCCCCTCGCTCTGGAGACCCCCCAGGACCACTAGGCCTGTGGGCCCCCACCTCTGGTACAAAGAAATCTGTATGGCTGGTGAGGGCACTCTCAACACAAAATAAATACCAGTGCCTTTGAAGCAGCATTTCACCAGGGTTAGCGGTTTTTTCTCCCCGAAGTCAGAGAAACGCCTGTGTCCAGCCCCCTAACTCTTTTGTGTTCTTTTTAGCTCCGTGAACGAGGCCTGGCCTGTAGGCTGAACTCGGCACAGCCAACTCATCTACGTGTGTGTGTGTGTGTGTGTGTGTGTGTGTGTGTGTGAGAGAGAGAGAGAGAGAGAGAGAGAGAGAGAGAGAGAGAGAGAGAGAGAGAGACGGACAGAGTTATCAGTTTGCTCTCTCCGGGGCTGAATACCAGCTACCTTGCCCGTATCCCTCACATCCCTATGATGGAGGCTCACACAAGCCTCTTCTGTTTGATTCACATAGAACCGTGAGAAACAGTCCCGTATGTGAGGCCGTGTTTTTCATTCTATTCAGTCTTTGTATATTCGGATTCTTCCAGTTTCAGCTCTTGCTGTTCTGCCAGATTTCCATCGCATTGATGGCTTCTCTGAATTAATAAGTGTTTTGCAATCGTGAAAAGTTTTCTTCCCCCAAGCACCGGGACTTCTCCATATTGATTTTTTTCCCCTTTCTCTTTCCGTTGTACCTACTTCTTAGACGTCCTATTTTGTAAAGCGTTAATAGAATTTTTCTTGCGCTCCGACGCTGTATCTATTCAGGAGGTCTTTGTGAGGTCCATTGTACACTGGACCATAGAGGAAAGAGCTCTATTCTTTTTTTTTT